AGCCAGTTTCTGTAGGGACCAGGTGTCTTTTGATTTTTCTTGTTATACTTGATTACAAAAAAGTCCTTGAATCAAATTATTTGCGATGATGCTGCTTTAATTCATATAACTGTGTACTACTCTGTGTTCATAGCGTTTTGCACGAGCGACAGACTGTGGTCAGCCTCACTCTTTTGGTGAGCTTGAAGTGGTGTGCAGTGTCTCGCGTTAATTATTGAAACTGAAACTGACCTCGGTCCAATTTAAGTCAACATGGTTTCATAATGATCAGTAATTGTTTAACACTTCTCATAATAACACGTAAGATCTCTTACTCTGTGTTTGTACCTCGCTCGTCCTCTCTCACAGACTTGCTGCCAGCCTGTGTTATGTTGTGTTGTGAGTGTGATGACTGGTTTACAACCTCCAGAACCTTTTGAACATCTTTCCTAAACAAATCCATATCTTTTTTTCCTCTTTTGCATATCTTCTGTTGCTTTTTAAGGCAAGGTACATTTTGATGTGATTACTGGATTAATTGATGGAATAATCGATGGAATGCTTGATTACTAATAATTGATAGCTGCAGCCCTGGAGCTGGGGAAGTGCAGTGTCCTTGTGTTTGGACTTTGTGTTGTATTTTTCTTTGTTTGTACCTTGGGTTCCTAATTTTATATTTTATTTTGAGACTGGGTGTCTATTTTTTGTGTCTCTTTACTAAATTCCCCTCTCCACCTGCCATTGCTTCTGCTCCCGCATTCGGGTCCTGCTTTGCAAAATGTAACACTAGACATTGAGGTGGTGAATTATTTAAAATCAGATTGAAGAATTGAAATGACTGATGCATCATATGTGTCAAGTTGCTGGACAAAATATGAAATTAGAGGCCTGATCAATCATCAAAATAGGAGGGTAAACCCTTGGATGATAAGTACATTTGAGACCTTTTTGTTTCTTTATTTTTATAATTACAAAGTTTATGTTGGTATTATATAAGTTGTTAGGTTGTTACCTTCTAAATAATATCCCATTTAAAAGTAGAAACTTCTACCTTCCACCATTCTTCCAATATCCAGGGGTGCTCCTGTTCCACCTGATTGAATGGACTCTTGTAAGAGGGGTCAGCACAGGCCTTTTGTGTGTACCAAGCAGAAGCAGAGGTCCATGTAATTGTCCTCCCCTCCGGTTGAGCAGTTTAATGAATGGTGGCAATCTCCAACTACTGTTAAAATGGTAAAGAGTGTGTGGGTCACTGGCTGGCCTCAGATAAAGAGTGTGGTCAGGGTCCAATGCAAAAACGACTTCGACCAGATGCGACTACTCAGTGTCAGCTGGTGTCCTGAACCATTAGCATGGCCGTTGAATAGGGATAATGGGGAAGTATTTGGATGAATGAAGCATTTTACTTTATGTGAGTGTGTATGTGAGCAAGCAAGGAGAGCGCCGAAGAAGTTACAGCCACAGAAATGGCCCTTGTATAGCCAGTTGTAGCTGGAAAGACAGTTGTCCATTGCTTAAAGGGTCAGTTCTGTCTTAGATTTCTATAATTGAGATAAACACTCTTTAGGGACTATTTCTTTTTCAGGAACCGGTACTGAAAAAAAAGCCATTCCCCACATTTAATTGTGCGTAATTTACTTTTGTACCACAAGAATATGAATAAGGCTTAGTCTTAGAAAGACAAAAATGTGTTCCTCCCTTTTATTCCAGACTGTGATTAATTGTTTATGTGTGTGGTCTGTTTCTGGAGAATGCGAAGTGCCCTGGAGGGATGAGGAGGGGTTGTTACACATTTCGATGGAGTACTTGTATTTCACTGTTTTTGGTTTAAAGATGAATGAATGAATTCTTTCTCCAGAGCCTCAGAGTCTGTCTGTATTTATTTCTCCCCCTGTCTCTTTCTTCCTTTAACATTTTCTCCTTCTGTCTTTCCTCAATAGCTGATTGATAATGCTCCATTGACACGCAGTGGATGGAAATGTCTCTGGGACAAACGGTAGTTGTCAAGCTGGAGTTCATGGTCTACGAGCCTATGAGCGTGATTCTCAATGGGGTCTCTTGTAGCCCTTGTATGGAGTCATCCAGGGGTCCTGACCACCCTGTTGACTTTCCCCAATAAAAGCCATTAGCTTCATTGCCCACCAGCTTACAAACAAGAAACCCACAGTGACTAAGTATGTGGTTGCGGTATAACAAGAGGGTTACAACAGAGAGACACTTCCTCTACAACAGTTTGATTAGGCCAGCAAGTTCATCGGAAACTTCCTTACATTTTGTTATCTAAATCAATAGAGGATATATGCATACATTTACTGTCATTGCTCATAGGAAATGAGCCCCCACACTTTGTTCACTGTAGGTTGACATGTTTTCCGATACTTGTTGACTCTAAGTATGGCTCTGTGATTTATTTGTATTGAATTACAACTGACTGGCATGGAATTGAATTTCCAAAAAAAGGATTGATTTTCTTTTCTCCCCAGTCCGGTTGGATTCTTCCTCTGTGCCAATTTTGCCCGTTAATCCAATGAGCTGTGGGTAGAATCTGCCAAGTTCTTGTCTTAATGCACTGTTCTGTACATGAGAGGCAATACAGGAATCTGGCTTCTGTGCTCTTCAGCAGTTTTGTCAATGTGGCTAGGTACACTGCTGCCAAATAAACACTCTCTCTGCCTCCTGCCAGTAGTGATTTATGGTTGAATACATCCTTGCCCCGTCCACTTTATCCCCAAAGAAAAATCATTTTCCAATTGAGCAGAACTTAGGCCTTGAAGACCGACTCAACATGTGGATATAGAGGTAGAATATTTTATTGGTATTGGCATTCCGTTGAATGATGCATTCCTCAATCTCATGGGGTTGATGGACTGATATGCAGTCCATCAATGGGTCATATGCAGGGCTGATTGAGATGCACGTCTTTTTTCCCTGCTTCTTTTCCCGTACAAGACGGAGGATTCAATTTGATGTGTGCCACACTTAGAAACCTATAATTAGAGATTTATATTCTCGACAGGGCATACTTGTAACCAGCAGGCCAAATTTATTTTGTGTTAGAGGAAGGAAGGATGAGGAAGGATGCAAGCTGTTAGAAGCTGTGGAGTATTATGTTTTTATGTGGAACTGCTTTTTAAACCCAGCAGTGGGACACAGTGCATGTGTTGTCAATATATTGACACAATTTGAAACAGAAGAGTGGCTGACCCAGACTACTAAGTGATGTGTCATTTTCTTGTCAAGTTGTTCTGACGCATAAAAAGAACAAAAGTCAGGCAATGTATTTACTCTCCCACATCGTAACTATGGATGTTTACTCCAATGATTGTGATGTATGATTAGATTAACTGATTTCCACATTTTAGCGTTTTTCAGCAAATTGTTTTAGTGGTGAAACATCTGTCCAGCCCAGTAGGGAGCTGATACACCCACTATTCACTACATACACTGCACAGATACTTAGTCAATGCAGCTTTGTTGGTAACCAATGTCATGTCAAGTTATTTCCAAATGTTGTTCCTTCAACTTGTCCAAGTTCGACAGAATACAACAAATCCAAGAATGTATAGTAGCTGTTAAAACCAAGGCTTACATTTTCACGGGATGCTTAAAACCTAAGGAAGAAGGAAAGTAAGATTGGCTTGAGAAGGCTTGAGTTCTTAGTGTGCAGCATGATATATCTAATCCTTATGTCAAGGGTGCTGTTACTTTCTCTTTCTGCCTGCATGGTGAGAGTGTCAAGCTTTACACCAGTATCTCATTAGGAGAGTGACAGCTGTGCAGAGGCGGACAGCCTGTTTCCAGAGACACCAGTGAAGTCACAGTAGGCCAAAGACCATTCAGGGAATATTTGCTGCATACTCCACGAGGGAAGGATCCTCACATGGCAGCTCATTCATGAATTCAGATAGTGGTGCTGTCTAATTCCTTACCCACAAAGAAAGCTTTTCTGAAAATTTTAGTAGCATAAAAAGGCTGATCGTATCTGTCACTACATCGGTTAGACTTCTGTCAGTGTTAATCAGATTTTTATCGGCCCTGGCAATCAGGCTGCTACTCAGGGAAAATTATTTTTCCGTTTTTTCTGGACTCCATAAACATCTTTGGAAACCAAGTTCCACCAGGGCTGGAACTCACAAGTTTGTTGGTTACTGTGAGCCAAGTGTCTTGAGACTGCACTGAGTGGCTTTGATGGCAGTCTGTGTTGTGGAAATTGGTCTAGCGCTCTCAAAGCTCATTCGTTATGTCCCCAGTTGCGGTGCTCCACTTTGACCACCTCTTAGGTTTGTGCAGAAAAAAACCTAATTTAAGACACAGTTAAAGACCAGCTCTGCCTCAGTGGAAGGTCTTATAAAAATTGCTTTGTGTTTCTTTTTGAATACGAACTACAGCTGAATGCTTGAGGCTGTGTGGTCTTGTCGTGACACAAGAGGAAGATATAAAAGCCTTGTTTTTTGCAAGAGATGAGGTTTTATATGGCTAAACTGTGTGACATGGATAAACACATATTTTGAAAACTATTTGGGGCTTGCAGCTGTGTATCTTTTTAAGTCATTTGAACAAGACAACACAGCCTTCATCCTGTTTGACAAAGAAGATTGACTAGATTGTGACCTCCTGAACCTATTAGCTGTCTTTCATTTCCCCAGAGGCCAAGACTGGAAGGATTACACACTCTTGTTGCCAGGGTCACTTAGTATTCAAGAAAAAGTGAAGTAAAAATAAGAGGCATAATCCTGTGCTGTCTCCACAGAGTTGTAATATGTACTCTGCTTACCTTTTATATTAAGATATATCAGGCATGTTGATATTGAGTTTGCAGCTCGACTTCCTGGGAGCAGTCACCTTCAACTCAACCTGCTGTTGGCAGCTGCCTCTGGGCAAGACCCCTTGGCCAATCAACTTCCCTGTGCCTGAAGGCAGGCCCTGGTGTTGCACTCGCTCAGTTACCTAGAACGGCAATCCAGCCTGTCAATCACACATATAGGCCCCACTGTGCTGCCTGACCCACTGTCTCTCTTGCCATGGCAACACTATTCCCAGCAGACCTTGCTGTCAAGAACAGGAGTTCTCCGAAATATGAAAGACAAGAGTCTCTGATCCAGTGTACATCGCATGGGGTTTGTGCCCCAGACCAGGATTTCTTGGTCATATGAATAAAACATCTGTACATTTTATGTATTTATTCTTTTGTGGGAAATTATAATATTTTCTCATTTCCCAAAACCCAAAACAAACCAGTACTCTATTCAAAATGATGATTTCACAGTCAAATCAACACATGAAATTTTAGTTAACGCTACATTCAGAAATTTACTCGCAGAGAGCAGGCTAGGAGGAAAGCACTGCACAAGCTTTGAACTCTGGACTTTCGCACTGTGGGAGACACACACGCACGCATGCACGCACGCACACATGAACGCACGCACGCACACAAATACACACACACAAACACACACACACACACACCCTCACCTCTTTCCTATTCTTATTATTTATGTTTATGTAGTTTTATGTGAAGTAAAGTTCAACATGTTCTTCATTGTTCAAATGTTGGTGTTTTAATAAAACCCAGAGATCCCCCCCTGCTTTTTACTCACTCACTATACCACCCCCCCACCCCAAAAAAGGAGGTATTAACAGAACCGTGGCTGAAAAACTGAGGTCTGAACCGAACCTGGGAATTTTGAGTATCGTTACAGCCCTTATCTAAATGTATCTATATCTTCCACCTTCTCTTGCAGGTCATCCTGATCCTGACCAAGTATTACCATGCTGACTCCACCAAGGTCCTGGAGAGCTCGCTTTGGAGGTAGGCCACGTTTACACAATGTTTGCTCTTGCTAGATATCTTAATGCCATGTCTGGCCTCAGACTCAAGCAGACCTTTCATCAGTGAGCATCTTTTCCTTTAGCGACAAAGTCGGTGCCAGTCTCGGTGCCGCAGTGCTCCTTCAAGGAGACAGGCGTGATACACAGTACTAGGACGGACAAAACATCAGCATGCAGCTACGAGTAAAGTGGGGGAACCGGAGAGTGGCGCTGGGAGGCTAGAGTGGGCATCTGTTTGGGCAGATAGCATATCAGCATGGCACAGGGCAGGGCGGCGGGCACCGGCAGTGCCAGTGAACAGGGTCAAGTCTGGCTGGCAGAGCTTCCTCTATTTAGCAATGCTGCTGTTTGCCAGAAACACTTCACACTGTTCTTGAGCAGCAGAAAAGAAAGTGCATTCATTCCACTCCACCTCACAACAACTGTATCTTGTATTTGTCCATATATTCTCATGGAATATTCATTTTCTCTTTATTTCACATCTCCCCTAACAGCTCATGGGGTGCTGCTCTGTAGCTGAGCCTGACCTTCTCATAGACAAGGAGACTTAATTATATTCAAATTTCCAAATTAAACCTTAGAAAATAGTCACAACAGGACTCATAACACTGGCTAGAATTATCTCTCTCGAAGACATTTGCGTTGAGCAAAACGTGTCTGATGGTGGTACTTAATTCATGCCATTCACCTCACATAGGGCTGCATGACTTCAAAGCCTCAGCCTCTCATTAGCTCTGACTGCCTGTCTCCCTGGAGGACAGATATGAATAATGTACATATTTTTATCCTGCCCCTGTTGATGTTTTAATTGTTGCAGTCTATGAATAATGCTCTAGATTCACGACTGGACAGGCCGCTTGAGAAAGAAAAAACACAGCAAATCGCTGAATTTAATCAGAATTGACTCTAAAGTGTCAGAGGCAGAAAAAGGTGGCAGACTGACTGTTGGCACCACTGTCCAAAAAGTAGAAATTACCATGGAATTAGAAAGTTTCCAAAAGGGCCCATAAGGCTCTCTGACCATGTCTTGGTGGGTATTATGTGTGAGGTTGTACCTCACTTCCTTATCGCTGTCAGCTTGGCATGGTGTGTTGACAGCCACAGTCCACTGGGCCATAGGTTTGGAAGTCTCCGGGCTGTAGGATCAAAGCAGAAAGATGAATGGGTTTGCCGTCTTGCCCTGTCAGGTGGCGTAGATCAAGATGCCAGGATTCACACAAGGGGAAAGTTAACAGCACAGAGAGGAGAAAAGTTTTTCAGGGCAGTCCAGTAAATGAACTGAGAACCTTTTAGCGTGGGTGGTCTGCAGAGGCTTGTTATGTGTCAGTAAGCAAAGCACACAATCGGTATGTACCTAGTTGAGCACCTATAACTGTTAGTGGCCCAGGTGCATTCAACCCAAACAAGTGGACATCAATCTTTAGGTGTCAGTCCATTCTGATATTGCTGTTGAAAAGACCTGACAAATGAAACATATTGGAGATATGACGGTTTGTTGAAAACCCACATGGGTCAAGAATTTTTTCAGTACAAATGATTCCACGTGTTTTTAAAGTTGAGACAAGATTTATTTAAGAGCGGATGACTAGCTGTTCCATGCGCTATCTAGTGTGTAGTTTCCAGCTAGTACCTTCTAATGGTAACCACACTTCGAGCCTTGTCTGTGTTTCCCAGTGGGCTATGGAGAGTTTTGTCTGTCCCCAGGCTTTGGCGTCAGTGCTGGCTCTTTTATTATCGCTGCCTGTTACCACTCCAGCATGTCTGTCCTTCAGTCTGTTATGGCTGGCCCAGGGTCCCGTGCTATAACACAGCTAATGAAAGAGCTCCAAACAACCCCCCCTCTGTCTTGTCTCGTGAGAATAGCCTTCTTTGTGAGGGGAGAGGAGGGAACAAGTGAATGGCAACTCGAGGAGCACCTGAGGCTTTCTGGGCAGTTTATGCTAATCTTTGAAGTATAAAAGTGAAAATACAAGAAAAATTTCCCCAAGCAAGATGACGCAGATTTATCCATGTGAGGCAAGAGATAGTCATACATCTTTCTCTCTTTCTTTGGTCATAGAAGTGTCAGACTGTTCAGGCCCTGGCTCTGCCTAAGCACTGATGTTATTGTGGTGTTCTTTGGCTTTGGTAAATTACAGCGTTCAAAAGCCTGGGCCCCTGAAGTAAGTAGAGATGCCCTCAGATGTCCTGCTGTGAACATGTGGGTTTGGTAGCTACACATCTGTCAAAGTTTGTGTGCTACTACCAACCTCTGTTTCAGAAAAATAACAGACCATTCAGAACATTTAGAAGAGTTACCCAAACTTTTTCTTTCTTAATGATATTAAACATGTTTCAAGCAAAGGTCTTAAGAGAGTGCTGTCAAACACATTTAATTTAAGGAGTAGTGTTTACACTCTTTTCAAATGGCGGTGCAGAAATCCTGCATCATGGCCTGCTGGCTGCATCACATAGCATCCATTTCAGACAGTGTTTTGTCAGAAGTGTTGTCATTGCTGCACATAAAAAGTGATAGAGTTAGTTGTGGAAAAAGGAGGACACTCGAGATAACTTTGATCCTTGCCTACTTTAAAACAATTTTCAAACCTGGCTAGTTATCATGTAAAGATTGCACGGATGTCAGGTTGTCAGATTCAGAACTGTACTGCACTCATTTTGAGGTATTAATATGTAACAGGAATTATTTAGAGAAGTTCTACAATCTTGATTCCTCTATTTTTTCCACCTCTGAATAATAAACCTTGAACAGTTTCTGGAAACAGCAGATGGTGAAGAGTGTTTGGGTGAATATGAAACCCACAGCGAGTTCCTAAGCTGCGTTGCTTGAGGATGTTTGAACAAGATATTTGTCAAACCTGATATTGTCTCTAAGTCGACTAGTTCCGATTTACAGCTTGAATGCAGATCAAATTTGGACACCACAGAGTAAACACAGAGGAAGGCATTTGTAGATTGGGCAAAGATGTGAGGATTTGCCACTGCATTACCAAACACTGTGATGACTGAAGGTTGACAGAACTCATCCTAAGACTCTGTTGTTCCACGTCGGGCCATGAAACACACAGTAAATCTTTTTAATCCTCAACTGAAAACGGCAGATATGTACCTCTTTTTCAGGCATTGAATCCTCAGTGCATGTTTCTCATTTTAAGATGATGCATTGGGCTTCATTAGACAGTCTGTGGCCTATGTTTGTGATTTGATGGATGATATTATCCTGATTTCTAGTGGCGTTTTAATGTCTGAGAAAGAACTAAATCCTGTCTTAGAAGCCTCTAAATCCTGAAAACGCATTTCTGTAATTCATTTACCAAAAGCAATTTGTCATACTGTATATACAGTATACACGATCATCCTTTTTTCCGTTAGATAAGATGAAGACAGGAATTTCAATTGTCTGGGCACAAATCCAGGTATATTGAATATTGGTTCTAACATTGGCCTGGATGTTTCCTCGGCCTCTCAGAAAGCCGTACTGATCAAGTCAAAGTCCTTCTGTTTGTATTTTAATAGTTGTTTAACCCAAACAGCTTACATGTATGTAATCCGCTCACTCCAACAGTAATCACACACTCACATAAAGAGGGTGCTGGTGTGAGAGTCAGGGGGTATTTATAATTTATACCATCTTCGCACTTTGAAGAGGCAATGGGGGCTGGTAACCATCACACCGGGGGGGCTTCACTGTTCCCTTATGGACGAGGAGATCATCTGACAGGCCAGTACTTCAACGTACAGTAGATCAACCACACCACACTGCTGCAACACAGCTGCTCTGCCCGTCACGTATGTTGAATTGTCAAATATGCTAAACTGCCTCATCAACCACAACCACACACCCAATTTGATTCAAAATGTCAATGCTTCAGTCCAAATGCCAAATATACAATGCAATAGGCACAGGGCTGTGTGAAACTGTGTACATGTGTTTGCATTCATGTCTGGAAATTTGCATTTTTTAATATCTGGGCATGTATAATAGAAATACTTAATACTTCAAATGTTGCTCTTTGTGTGTGTGTGTGTGTGTGTGTGTGTGTGTGTGTGTGTGTGTGCATTTCTTTGTGGTTATTTTTGTCTCTGTGTGAATTTGTGTATCAGCAAGACATCAGCTGAGAAGAAGAGAGAACAGAGAGATAGACATCGACAGGGAAGGGAGTGAATCAAAAAGAGCCTCCAGGGCTTCTTTAGACTGAACAGTAGGGGGCATCACACTTCAGAAAGATAACTCCCCAACATCCACATCTCCTCCTCCTCCCCCTCTTCCTCCGCTCTCTTCACTCTTACTCCAACTCAAAGCGAGCATTTTCTGTGTTTTAACAAAGCCGCTCTTTAAAACTGCGTTCAAGAAGCAGAACCATCAGGGAGAAGATAAGTGATGATAGACGTAGTCGAACCTTTGATGATTCTTGTGGGAAAAGTGGGTCATAATAGCAGCAAAACAGTAATTTGATACAAAAGAGAAGGAAATTGTGCAGTTTTCAAAGCATATCAATAAATATGTATAAAAAAACTTTTTCTAATCAACTGAAGTATTGTAAATGGCAGACAAGCCATCCTTGCTCACGCAATATTTGGGGACAGCACACACACCAACAGTAATTATGAGAACTCCTACAGCTTGAAGCACCTTTATGCAACAGTCTTTTACAACAAGACAACATTAGAAATAACATTGATTTCTACTTAAGGCTATTCTTACTTACATTCTTCTTACTGAATGTCCATTTACTGGCCTTGTTCAAAAGCATTCTTTCACATTTGGTGGCATTCAGCAGTGGATGTACTTAGTAGCAGTTTCTTTTCTTGAAGATGAAGACGCATTTTGAGAAAGTGCCTGTAGTTTTTCCCTAGTCTTGCTGAAGGTTAAAGACAGGGGATATCGCACCTTGCTAAGCCCTATGAGATGATTTGTGAATATGTGCCACCTCACCTGAACACTCTGACTTCCTCAGAAGCCATGTCAAAGAAACAGCTCTA